TGCTCTGATCCATCCTTTACAGCCCTCACTGAGCACCAGGTACAGCTCTTTTCGGTAGCTCCGGTGCATCCCGGTCCTCACGGGCTGTTTCTTGTCCCCGGCTCCCTCTCCCCCTCTCTCCCCGCCTTCCCTCACTGCCGGCTCACCCAAATATCGGTACCTGAGCACCGACAAACGGCTCTGCCAGGGGATCTCTCAAAGCTGGGATGGTCACAAACACAAAGATTTGGGGTGAGAAATGAAATCCAGCTGCTGGATATCCCAAAATAKCCCAAACTGCACAGACACCCATCCCTGCTCCTGCCAGGATCCTCAGTGTGATTCCACTGCCCTTTTCCACTGGTTTGCAAACATTTCTCCCACTGCAGACACATCTGCCCTCATCCTTCATCCGCCTGAGAGTCCAAAACAGGCACCTGGTGCTGTGGGCAGGATCTGAGCATCTCCCTGGACCTGCAGAGCCCAAAAATGCTCAGGTGGAACCCCAAACAGCGCCAGGGTGGCACAAAACACACACCTGTGCACAGGTGAGAGCGCAGTTCTGAGAGTTCATTTCTGTGGATTCCACTGCAAACTCAAAAGTTGTCTGAAATTCTCCTTTTTTTCTCATTATCTTTTTCTTTTGCTCTCCAATGCTCCTCCCTGCTTGTTCAACAGGAAAAGCTTTTCCCAGGACCAAACCACACAGAGCTTAATGGGAAAATGAAAAAAAAACCCAAAAGGCAGGCTAGGAGTGAGCCCAGAGCTCGGGGCTGACTTGGAAAAACGAAACTTAGGATGGGCCAGGCTAAGAGGAAAAAATAAAATAAAATAAAATAAAATAAAATAAAATAAAATAAAATAAAATAAAATAAAATAAAATAAAAATAACAGACATTTCTCTTGCAGCTTGCAACCCAAACCAGCACTAAAACACAACAATGGTCTAAAAGGTCCATCTGATTCAGAAATAAAGTCACAAATTTTACGGAGGAAAAATCCTTCAGAATTCCCTGCCAAGGGCTGACACTGTCTCACCCTTTAGATCCTTTTCCTCTGCTGTTTGTTCTCAGAACAAAGTAGCTCCTTGTATTTAAAAACGTCWGCTGCAGTCCTTGCAGAAATATGGGACAGGCTCCTTTAACGATCAGGGAAAAGCTGGGTTCTGCCAGAGTCACATTAATTTCACCAAACATTTCATTATAATAATTAACTTCATCTTTCAGTCGTGCCACTGATGGTACGGGCTCATCAAAGCCTTTTTTATTTGTCATGCACTGAAAAAAGCTCGGATTTACTAATCCAGCAGAAGATTTACATTCATAAATCAATTCTGTTTGTTTATAAAAAAGTTCCACACTTGATCATTTTGTGTTTCCCACCACAGCGTGGGCAACTCTCCAAATTACCAGCTTTGTTTTATACTAAATAGTTAACAGGATAAGTAGGGTTTGGTAGTACTGAGAATACTCCAGTTCTTGATTTTTATCAGAATTATTCTGGGCATGGAGCATTGAAGAAAAATAAAATAAAATTTTAAGAGATTAAATCAAAGGGAAAGTAAAAATGAAGAGGTATTTTTATTTTTGTCCGCCCTGAAATTGTTAATAAAAATAAAGGGAAAGTAAAAAAACAAACAAACAAACAAAAAAAACAACAAAAACCCAAACAAATAGACAAACAAACAAATAAAAATGAGGGAATCAGAAATGATCCAGTGGGATCCTTTTCCAGCCTGAATTCAGGGCAGCAGAAATCAGTTTCTGGCTGTCTCAGTTTGCTKCTGAACCTGAACAGTTTGGTACAATCACTGAAATTTCTGCCCTGCAGAACCCCACTCTGGGCTGATCTCACCCAGAGCCCAGCACCACCTCATCTTTCCACTGGAAAAAAGAGTTCTGGAAGAGACAGAGCCCGGGGATGAGAATTCAACCTTTGGGATATTTTGGCCAGCAGCCGGATTTCATTTCTCATCCCAAATCTTTGTGTTTGTGACCATCCCGTCCTACCTGGCAGGGGACTGGATACCAAATCAGGGACTGCATCACAAATTTGTGACTGGATCCCAAATTTGTGACTGGATACCGAATCAGGGACTGCATCCCAAATTGGGGACTGGATACCGAATCAGGGACTGCATCCTGAATCAGGGACTGGATCCCAAATTGGGGACTGGATACAAATCAGGGACTGCATCCCAAATCGGGGACTGGATACCAAACTGGGGACTGGAACTCAGGTCAGGAACTGGATCTCAAACTGGGGTCTGGATCCTGAATCAGGGACTGGATCCTGAATTGGAGACTGGATCCCAAATTGGGAACTTGATCCTGAATCGGGGATTGGATCCCCAGTCAGGGACCGGATACCGAATCAGGGACTGGATCCCAAATTGGGGATTGGATCCCAAGTAAGGGATTGGATCCTGAGTCAGGGACTGAGTCCTGAGGTGGGGACTGTATCCCAAATTGGGAACTGCATCAGGGATTGTATCCCAAATCAGGGATTGTATCCCAAATCAGGGACTGGATCCCAATTGAGGTTTGGATCCCAATTCAGGGACTGGATCCCAAATTGGGGACTGAATCCTGAATTGGAGACTGGATCCTACATTGGGGTTTGGATCCCAGTTCAGGGACTGGATCCCAAATTGGGGACTGGATCCTGAACTGGGGACTGGATCCCAATTGGGGTTTGGATACCAAGCCAGGGACTGGATCCCAATTGGGGACTGGATCCCAATTCAGGGACTGGATCCCAAATTGGGGACTGGATCCCGAACTGGGGACTGTATCCCAGTTGGGGTTTGGATACCAAGCCAGGGACTGGATCCCAATTGGGGTTTAGATCCCAATTCAGGGACTAGATCCTGAATCAGTGCCTGGACCATCATTTGGGGTTTTCCCTCCTCCCAGGGCTGATCCATCCCTCCTTCACCTCCACCCGATGCTGTCATTGCCCGGTCCCCTCCAGCCGAGCCCCCCAGGCCGTGTTGGGGTTTTGGGGGGTCCCAACAGCCCAGGAGGGTGGTTACCTGCTCGTTGACGTGGCACACAGCCAGGTTCTGCTCGTCGCAGGAGCAGGACACTCGGATGTACTTCAGCCAGTTCCCAGCCCCGCCCTGGCCGCCGTCACCGCAGAACTTCTCAGTGCCCAGAGCATCGGGGATCTGCGGGAGAACGGGAGCAGAGGGGTCAAATGTCAGCCACGGAGGGGACAAAGGGAGGAAAAGGGTTTGCAGGGCAGAGCTTCAAGCGAGGAATAGGAATGAGAAAGGTGGGTGGTGGATGTTGTTGATAAAGATATTTGTGATYGGAATAAAATCAGCTCTCAGCTGTGATCTGAAGGTCCTGGCTGATGGAACCTCCAAGGACATCGAGAGGGGTCCACAAGCAAAAAGTTCAGGATTACAAATGTATAAAACGGCTCTGGTACCCAGCTCAAGCAACCAAAGCAGGCAACTCCTCCAAACTGCATTTATTTTAGCGACAAAACCCTCAACCGCTCGATTTTCACGTTATTACCTGCTTCATCCTTTCACAGAGGATCTTTTCACCTTATTACCTGTTTCATCCATTCACAGAAGATAATTTTTAATTATGAACCTTTCAATAAACTCTCTAAAAAAAATCTTTTTTTTATTTTAAAAAAAACCTCTTTACTGAATGCATTACTTTCATTTATCTGAGTGCAGCCTGAGAAATTCGTYGGCCACGTCTGCGTGGCTGAAGGTGAGACACGAGTTGGCTGCTGTGTAAAAGAGGAATCCTTCAAAATAAAACCCCTCAGATACTTTAAAGTCCAGGTGTGGGGGTAARAAAAGGGTTAATGAAAGGGTTGCAGCCTGAAGAATGTCCCTGSTTTGCCAGGAAGGGACTTTTCCTCTCAAAAGAGTGGAATTTGGGTGGCAGAACCAGAGGAGATGCTCAGGACTCCAGAACAACCTTGGGGATGGTCTGCTTCTTAATTTGTAAAAAAAATTAAAATTTTTTTAATATATTTTTTTTTAGTATTTCACTCATAAAAGCACATCTTAAAAAGGACACACCAAAACCAAGGAAAAGCCCTTTGAATCCAAGCGTGGCTCTGCTCCCAAGTGGGCCTCCCTGCTCCAGAAATTCCTTTTTTTTTCCCCTCAGATTCAGRTTTCCCTCTACCCCGACCAGCCCCCGTGTCAGCGCAGATTACTTCAGTCATCAAAAGCTCTTAACGTGCTTTTACCAGCAATTAATTCTCTCGGAATCTCGTGGGAGATAATAATACTTTCCCATCTATTTCAAGACGAAGCAAAAAAAAAGGAAAAAAAAAAAAAGGTGGGAAAACAAAAGGAAAGGAAAAATTAAAGCCCAGCCAGCGACAGAAAGTTGAGTTTAAGGCTGGGCTGAAGAACCTCGAGGGGATGGGTCCAGTTGAGGTTTTGGCTGCCAATTTTGAGCTCCTGGAGGACCAGAACCTTCCAACAGCCCCAGRGCATCTCCCAGCTCCCTGCTCTGCTCCCAGAAGAATTTTCCTGCTCTTTCCACCGCTAATTCTTCCTTCTCCAGCTCCCTGTCTGAAAGGGGATGAGGGAAAATCCCACCATTCATGTTTGGATTTTCCTTCCTAATCAGAACACTGGGAATCCCTGAAATGCTGTGGTTTTTTTCCCAGAATGTGTTTGGGACAAAACTGGTGCAAGAAAAAGGAAATGGGCTCAGTTTTAGCCCTCGGGGTTACTCATTTCCCCTAACTGGACCTTGGCATTTTCTGGACACCTTTGGTCATCCCTGGCAGCACCAAAGGTCTGAGGTGGGGCACTGATGGCTCAGGGAGCCGATTCTGTGCTGTTTGGACTTTTTAAGGAAAAAAAAAACAAAACAAGAAAACCTGTTCTTAACGTGCCTGACGCACTGAGTTTACTCAAGGTAAAGCATCAACAACTTGAGTTTTATCTCAAGGAGTTCCAGGAACACAAAGGCTGCCTAAAGCTGGGATTAAAGAGCTTTTCTGGGCCTYACTGATCCTAAATGGACAATCCAGGGCAGTTCCTCGAGCAGGGGACGCACCTGAACACCAAGTGACAGCAGCTCCAGGGAAATTGTTTGGGAAAGCAAATGAGAGGAATGATCAGTGCTCAGCTGGTCTGAGGCTGCTGGAGAGTTTGGGCAGAGTTTGGAGGGGTTTGGGGAACCACCACAAATCTCCCCATGTCATTAATTCCCACAACAGCAAACAGTGACGTTSAGTGGGAAAACAAATCCAGGACACACAAATTGGCTTTTTTATTTCATATCTTATAGATGTGAAAATAATATTTCATATCTTTCACATCCCCTCTTCCATCTCCTGGAATTGTTTGATGAGGACACCCAGATCCACTGAATGGCTCAGGATGGAAGGGACCTTCAGGGYGATTTTGAGCCCAAAATTCAGCTCAAATTCATTTTGCAGGGTCCTGCCACAGCTCGAAATCACCTGAAACCCCTGTGGTTTTATCTGCGTGGGGCATTGAGAGCCAGGCCGGGGGTGTGAGATCTGACAGATCAAAACGAGAGAGAAAAGAGGGGCTGTGAGAACCTGAGAACATGAGCTACACAAATGCTCTGCCCTCCACAAACACAACGTRCCAACACAGCCCCGAGCCCAAAAATTGGGATTTACACCCAGAWATGCCTCATCCCTCTGCTGGGATGGGTGAGAACCCTCTAAAAATGGGATAAATGGGGTGGGCAGAGGTCTCAGARCGCTGCTCAGCCCTCGGTGGCCCGTGGGGGAAAAAAGTGGTTTTATAAGTTTCGATTTTGAAATTTAGTTAATTATTGTGCATGATTGAGAATTGGGAAAAGAAAGGGAGTGTTAGCAGCTTACATGGAGGAGGAATGTTGCATCTTTGGTTACTTTTGAGAAAAGGAGATTGGAATGTAGAATTGATAATGCGGGTGGCTGGAAATTATAAATATTATTAATACTGTGGCTTTTGCGAACTTACTAATTATGTTTTGATTACTAATTAAACAGTTGTCTTTTAACTAATGTATGTTTGATACAAATGTATACTCTGGTTGCTAAAATGGATAAAAGAGGCTTGTCCCACAATAAAGTCCTTTTTTTTCTCTCTGTTTTTTTCACCCACTTTTGTGCATTTTTGTACCTATTCTTTTTTTGTCGCTGTTTGGCCGACACCTCTCATTAAAGATCAGGTTCACACGCTCGTTCTCTTCACTCCTGGTCTCTCTCGGGGTTATTTCACAGCTTAAAACACAGCAGCAATCACCCAGCGCTATCAAAGCGGGATCTGCTTTGTGCTTCTGTCAAATGTTCACAYGCAGAGTGATTTTCTGAGTTTCTCTTCCTCCCCCCAGCCCCGTCCCTGCCGCCTCCACCTGAGAAAACTCCGGAAAAAAAACCCGAACTGAAAGCTTTTACCACATCTTCTTCCAGTTCAGACCAGAAGGAAATCAGAAATTTCCTCTGGCGAAATTCTGCAAACCGACTGCCGACAAGTCCTTGTCAGTAAGTAAAAATAAAATTTAAAAAAAAAAAAAAATCAGTTTGAAAATGCTCATGGAGAATTGTTCTTTTCTGTGTTCTTTGGAAGAACCAGGAGAACAGGAACCTCCAGCTCTATYAAATCTCTTTATTCACAGTTAAAACCAGAATTAAGTTCATCCCTAGCCAGGACTCTGCAGCA